GCTCTATAACCTCCGAACAACAATCTAACCGCGACAATGCCCTAAACCTAAACCACAAACCTCTCAACTTTCCACTTATAGGGGGTTTTGAAATTTTAGGACAAAATTCGTTTTCATATCATACCTTGTAATGGATTCAATAACTATATACATATAGATGTTCAAGATATATTTTCAAGAAATTTGACGACATGCGGCGGTCTAATTTTTAGGTGTCAATTGTTGCAAAATGAATGAGGAGAGAGGGGTTTCAAAATTGAATTTTTTTTTCCGGAAAAAGAGCAAGAGAGGTTCGTACCATATTTTTTAGAAAAATCACCAGTACAGGCAGTACCTCACACATATCCCATACACGGACGCCACTGATGAGAATATTGAAAAATTTGGTACCTATACATATACTCGCATCAGTAGGCGCATGTCAAATTTCATCAAAATATATAAAATAAGTACCTATTGAAGTTTTTTCTCAAAATAAAAAAAATTAAATAAAGACACCCATTATAGAGATATGGCAAGTTTTGAGAAGTTTAAGGCATATCGAGAGGCATATGTTCATAAATGAACCTTATTTCTTCTTGAAATGAGCTAAAAGGAGCCATATATACCTTAATGAACTCAATATAAACAACTATATTGAGTTCATTGATATACCTGAAACACATATCTCGCTATGGCCATCAATTGAAAATTACACACCCTGTATAATATATCATTCTTATTCATATACATAGGATAGGTACCTACATAGAGGTAAATTATATACTTACAATTTCTTCATTTTGATCTTGATTCCACTCATGGAAGAACAAATATGTGAAAATTCTATTTCAGAATTATTCACAATAAGGGAACTCGAACAAATTCTGGTAGGACACATCTTCCTTTTGGACATTGTTTATAAATCGACAGCAACAAACAGATTAAAAGATTCGAAATTGAAGTAAGATTTAACTCGAACGGTGGGAGATCCATTTTGACGACTTTCTTGTTGAATCTTGTCATCTTGTAAAAATATTACAAGTCGACTTTAATACCGCACATCGCGAAAGAATAATGTTTCAACTAGTTTGAAGTTGATGATGAAAGATAAAACCGAAAACCAAAGCCAAAGAGCGTTTTGGCTTGGCAACAGGGTAGGCACGATTCAAGACTTGTTCAAGACACGATTATTCACGATTGACAATTTAAAACAGCGTTGTCGATTTTCGAGAAAATTATTGTGATTTGTGTATTCATAATTTTCATCGACATTGAATTCGTTATTTACAATATTTTGGCATACGGATCGAGATTTTTTTAAAGGTACTATATAGTCACTCACATATAGTTTTTATTATGAAATGTTATCATTTCTCATTGGATAATTCCTTCTGCAATAGGAGCTAATAGAAATACTCGTGAAGTTTCTAAAATAAAGCAGAAAGATTGGATTCATGCAATCAAACGAAAGAAGTGATGGTCTCTGGCTGACGTAATATGATCGTGTCTGTTGTAGACATTTTCACTCTATTAACAGTATCAGCTTTTATTGCAGAAGTGGCAAAAGGAATCTAATGATAAGAGATGACAACATTTCATAATGAAAAATATGTGAGATCACTATTTACCTGAAAAATTACTTATATTCCTTCGTCGCTCGCTTCATTTTTGTGAACTGTTTTGTACAGTGCACAATGTGATGGCATGCTTGAATTAATTGATACTATTACCCTAACAACACCAGTACATCCTAGGGACTTCCCATGGACGTCCCTGATTTCATACTAGTACATCCCAGGAATTTCCTTTGTCGGGACAACGTACATACTAGGGATGTCCCATCGACATCCGCTGGCCGCTAAAAAAGACATCCAAGGGATGTCCTTCCGGTACGTCCCTGGGATGTACCAAGTACGATGAAAGGATATCCCTAGGACGTCCCAAGGATATCCCAGGGACATCCTTTCGACAAAAGAAAAAAGTTACAGGTCGAGTAGGGATTGAACCCGGGACCTTTGGCTTATCATGAACGCACCTTGCTCCAATGGCTATCATGCCTCCTGAAGATTTATGTACTGAACATATTCATAAACAAGACTCAACTACAGAAACCTGAATAAATACAACTTCATTAGGAATTGGGTATAATTATTATCATTCTTGGGTGTTTAAAAATGAGGGGTATTATGCATGTACGATTTCTGTCTGCGAAAAATGGTAATTTCTTGAGAAGTTCTAAGACTTCATTCTTTATTTTCATTACAATCATTTTCCGGAAGAGAATCAAACATTTTCGAAAAAATTCAACTCAATAATTTGATGAAATTCAATGACTCTGATGTGAATGGATATCAGATACTCCAGGGACACGAATAGGATAACCTAGGGATATACCGGGCGGGATGTCCACTGGACAACCACTACAGGACATCCCCTGGATGTCCCAATCATGTCCTTGTACCGCGGGACAAAAAAGGGACGTACCTAGGACATCCCTGTGTTGTTAGGGTAAAGGCCCAAAAAACATGATTCTTATGCTAAAATATTGTGAAAAACTATTTCAGTCCTCTGATTCCATTGTTAACAAATAAGAAAAGTGATGTTGTGTTATGCTTTACAGAAAATAAATGAGGTTTTGTTTCAATGTTTTACCTCCAGAGTCGGTCATAGTACACGCGACCTATGCAATTTTCAGAGGTGCAGACTTTTATTTGAATATGAGAATGATGACAGCAATCGGAAAAGTCAATGCGTGATAATTGGTACGTGCCCACACTCTTTAAAAGGGCGTATAATGAGATGTTCGAGGCAATCAACCTAGATCTATTTGTGTAAAACTGGCTCAGCCAGTGCTATGTGTTTTTGAGAAGAACCTGTATATATGACAGCTTCACATAAACTTGTCATAGTTTCTCTGATGAGAGTACTGTCAATATTGTCTATCTCTAAAATAGTTGTATGATTTTTTTTAATACAACTGTATACATCATAAGATATATATATAGTTGTATATCATATATGATGCATATAAATGTGTCGTATATTGAAATCTAACTATATTCTAACTAATTATTCATATTCTTGTTTAATAACGATGAAAATGAGCATGAGTATTACCAAGTAATAGTAATTCAATAGTTTAACAATGTTACAATTCTCTCAATTCAGTTTTTAAGTTTTCTACCAACCTACCTATAATTATGTTTTGCTAGTGGCAACATTGTTATCTGTGAACTGTCATTACTGTGCGGACTCGGCTATGATTGGCTGTTAAAGATGACTCATCTGGAGAAAGGTAGGATTGGAGAGGATGATTGGAGGTGGCATCATCTTCACAAATTTGAAATAAGATTCTACAGGTTTGAACATGTCTGTATCACAAATTATGAACAATGAACTCAATAATTACGAAATAATCCTCGAATTGATGTATAACCTTATGTGCCCATAGATTTGTTGATTGGAAATGCTATACAATATATCCACCCTTGTCGTAGCTATAGGTTTATACACTCACAGGCAAAAACACCGGTCAGAAAAAAATTTACAAATTAATCGCCCTGTGGCTTTTTTAATTCTTGTCCGATATTGGTGTGAAATTTCGACCAAATCGTAAATTTATGTCACGGAATGTTGACTTCAGTTTTAGTTTGCAAAAATCAAAAAATAAGAAACTGATATGCTTATCCTTTCATCATCATAAACCATAATAAGAAATAAAAAACAAGTAAGTTTGCTCCCCTTCCGGTAAGGCAGAAAATAATATGAACACGCGAACAAATATTTTTATAGACCTTCAATCGCAGATTCGTGATTAGGTTTTTTTCAATTCAGAATTATTGGGAGTTCCACGTCCTAGGTATATGATGAATATCACTTTGTCATACAGCCAAAAACAAATATTTTGCGGTTACTTCATGGAGATGTTGTTAACATATATATATCATTTTAGAAGCTGAAATTTGTGTTCTTTCTCAATAATTTGGAATAAAATACGTATAAATTTATTATTTTGTATACTGGCGATAACTGGTGAATCAATTTTTCAACTTTGTTCCATATAGGGTGTTTGCGTCAGTAGTCGGCAAGAGACGGGTTCATGGATTGATATGCACATAAAAAAAAATTGAAATAATTATGGTGAATAGAATCGGTTATTAGAAATATTGATTGAAATATTCAAAGAATCAAGGGGTTTTTCTACCTTTTTTTAAAAATAATAAAATTCACGAAAAATACACTTTTGCTAGTTCTCGGCCACGAGATCCCACTTCTCGCGGCAACAGTGCCGGTTTTAGTACTATACCAGCGCCCTGGGCAAGAATTCTAGATTGATATATTGTCGATCGCAGATAGGTTTTTATGACTCTAATCATGAGTATATAAAGTGTCCAATGACAAAATAAAATGAGCAAGTAGTAGGTACCTGTAAATATGCATCTAACACGAGGGGAAAAAGAAGGCGAAATTCCGAACTTTTTCTTTAAATATCTCGATAAATAGTGGTTTGTTCACATTTTCCTTATCGAATTTGTGTTTTTCAGACAAAAATACATAAGTACCAAAAAAAAATTTCGAAAAAGAACCCTTCGCATGATAAATGCAGTTTTACCTAAATATATTTTTAGTTACAGCAATTTGTCCTAAATTTCATTCTCTAGTTCCTATCACATGCTTCATCAATTGCTTATCAATATTACCAGACACTTGGGAAATAGTTCATTGATCATTATTCGATGTATGACTCGGTGATTCAAAATCGCCAAAGTCCGCGATTCGAATTTACCGCCATGGCCAAAATCGACCTGATTGGCCTAAAAGCTCGTCAATGCCTGTTATCGGGGCGTTTTGAATACGTGCGTTCCGAGGCGTTAGTACTTTAATTATGACAGGACAGGCTGCCAGTGTCGTGACCACGGTCGTGACCTCGTGACCACAGATTGTTGTGACACACAGCTTGACAGTGACAGCCTGACAGCTCTATTTTATACGCGCCAAAAGTTGTATATATTGTTGGTTGATTAGAACCTGTAGAAAGTTTAAAATCATATATTATAATTTATAATGGATGGATTCGACAATCCTGGAGTATATTTCAGCGATAATTTTCCTGAAGCTAATGAAAACATTAGTTCAGTAGGTTTAGTAGCAGTTAAAAAAAAGTTCAAAGAGTTCATTCGACAGTACCATACAGAAAACTTCAACTATAAATACAGGTATCCACATTGGTTTTATGTACTACTGTGAAAATATTATAATACTTGTCTAATGTAACTTAATAATTTTTTTTATATAGAGATACTTTGAGACGAAACTACAACTTGGGTCAGTTTTGCCTAGATATAAATGTGGAAGATGTGGGAAGTTTTGATGAAAACTTGGCTGACAAATTATATAAACAACCTGCTGAGCATTTACCTATATTTGAAGAAGCGGCTAAAGAAGTTGCTGATGAACTCACAACACCAAGACCTGAAGGTGAAGATCAAGTGGAAGATATTCAGATTACCTTATCTTCTGATGCACTTCCCTCTGATTTAAGGTCTTTGAAGGTGTGTAACCACTAATGTTTTCTCTTATTTTTTTTTATCCATTTTATTGTAGTCTGATGTTGTCTCCCGACTTGTGAAAATTCCCGGAATTATAGTCAGTGCAACTGGTATCAAAGCAAAGGCTACTAAAATATCTATACAGTGCCGTTCATGCAGTAACATAATACCTAATTTGCCTTTGAAACCTGGATTGGAAGGTTATATCATGCCTAGAAGGTGCAACACGTGAGTTGAAAGTTTGAAGATATTTTTCAAACTTCATTACTGTATGAATTCTTCTAGTGAACAAGCTGGGAGGCCAAAATGTCCTCAAGATCCATTCTTCATTATGCCTGATAAATGTCATTGTGTAGATTTCCAAGTACTGAAATTACAAGAACTCCCAGATGGTATACCCCAAGGTGAAATTCCTAGACACATCACCCTCTATTGTGATAGATATTTATGTGAGAGAGTTGTTCCTGGTAATAGAGTGTTTGTCTTGGGTATATATTCAATTAAAAAAGTGAAATCTACATCAAGGGTGAGTCAAATGATAGGAAATACAATAAATTGGTACATGTATATTTTTTTCTAGAGGGAAGGGCGTGAAAAAGCTATAACAGGTGTTAGAGCAGCCTATCTGAGAGTGGTTGGCATACAACTAGACTCTGAAGGCTTAGGAGCCTCTGGATGCTCAATTGTATCATCTGAAGAAGAAAACACATTTAGGCGTTTAGCTGCCTCCCCACATCTATATGAAAATATAGCTGCTAGCATTGCTCCTTCTATATATGGTGCTTCTGACATCAAGAAAGCCATAGCTTGTCTCCTTTTTGGTGGTTCTCGTAAAAGATTACCAGATGGGCTAACCCGTAGGGGGGATATTAATGTTCTGTTATTGGGTGATCCTGGTACTGCTAAGTCTCAGTTATTGAAGTTTGTGGAAAGGGTGGCTCCAATAGCTGTTTATACCTCTGGAAAGGGTAGTTCTGCTGCTGGTTTGACTGCCTCTGTAATGAGAGATCCTGCTACTGTAAGTACAGAATATTTGAGAATATTCTACAACTGTTTCACTACCACTAGTTTCTTACATGTATTTTAAATAATTTCTCCATATCTTCAAATGTTTTGATGTGTTCAGATTATTTGTTTATTGCTTGGCAGTTTTGGCATGCATATTATTATTCAATTAGAATTAGTTAGTAGAAGCCCACAGTGAATCTTTCATTGGAATTGTGGAATTGAATAAGGATGAATTTCTTGGGATCACTCAGGCTTGAAGCAAGATCATTGAAATTATTGAGAATGTAGGTATTATTACTACAAAACTACTCATCAAGAAATAGGTTTTACACAAATCCATGATATTTATCAAGGATACATATTCCAGGGAATATCAGACCAACAATTAAGAATTTATTGATTCAAATATCTTTATAAACTCAAAACTGCTTGATGTAGACACTAGCAAGTAATAGATTCATTTACTCAACTGTGATCAACTTGATGTAGTGATCCTTGAATAAAATTGGCCTATGGTCCCTCCTGCTCTCCTTTGGACCTGAACAAAATTTTATAATAGGTATTACTGATTTTTTTTTTCAACATATTGGGGTTCTTTACTACAGTTTGTGTTATAATGATGTAGTGTTGATTAAATTCTTGACCTTTTGTGAATACTTGAGGAGTATAGCACTGATGATGGCTTATTAGCCAAAGCACTCTGGGATTTGATGATGAAATATTTAGAGAAAATACAAAATTTGTCATTCAATTGATCAGTTATGTTAATGCAGCTTGTACAAATCTTCACCTATGTGAAATACCAAACACTAATTCTATATATAACATTCTAGAGAATCAGCCTGTTTGCCAATTTTTATATTTAGTAAGTCATACATAATAATTGCATATAGAGTTGGAATTAAAACACACATCATTTTCAATTCCTTTGATGTCTCCTAATATGGAAGTCATAGAAAACATATTTTCAGGGTATCCACCTGAAAAACGGAATCATTTTAATTTTTACGGTGTCAACTGGTCATCAGAGTGATATTAACCAGTGGCCATATTATTTAATGGCCAAATTTCCTTGAAAATTTCTATACTACAATCACGCTTGTGTCCGCCTGTCTTACTATTGTACTACATGGCATTGGAATTTGAAATCATGTCAGGTTATCATGATCCTTGTGTATTTCTAGACAGATATTGTCAGTAGAACATACAGTATATCTTTGTAATTTGGAACCATGAGGGTTTTATAAACATAAAATTAATCAAATCATCCATTAACATTGAACTATGAAAACTGACCAAGGAACTCTCATGAGAAACGTGCAAATCTAAAAAAATGATGTATATAAATATTGGATGTGAGGGTTCGGAAGTTAGTCTGGTCTGGGGCTACTCTTAACTTGACAAGAGCTCATTGTAACGGTTACTATAATGTAAGTTGTTATTAGGTCTTTATATTCATTGTTGTTTATCCATATTTATCATCACTTCACCCATAATGTTTCATTCTATAATACATATTGTTATCTTTGAATATAGTCTCATACTTTCAGCTACCCCTGAACTATTAGTGCCTGTTCGTATGTTACCTCTGACAAACTATTTAGCCAATCATTACCCCTTATAAATCGATATGGATGGCTTAACCATCTTTTTTATCGATAATGGAGGAACCACCTATTCTATCGTGACATGGTGGAGGCGCCAATGGCTCGTTCCCGAGGTTGGTTCTTCCTAACCAACCTCACATTTCAAAATCTCATGTAATTTTGTTTTTTCAATTAGATTATTCTTATTTCATTGAAGTCAAACAAATATTTTAGCAAGACAGTTTTCATTATTTTAATCATTGAATATAAAGTAGTGGCCAGGTAGCCGTGCGGACAGAGTGTCCATATTCTAATCCGCATTCGCTTGCCGGTCGTGGGTTCGAGTCCCGTCGACTGCAGAAATTTTTCTGATGGCCCAAGAAAGTGTTTGGGATCACACGTTAAAAGGTAAGGCCCCCGTCATTCCTTGCTCGCACAAGACTCTCGAAGACTTCTGAGGGTTGCTCGTAAGGGGGCAACCGAATGACGGATAGAACAATTTTACAATTTTTACAAAAAAACATATGGGGCATCTGGCCAGGATTTGCGAACGGTCCAGCATGCTACAACTGGACTGCCTCAGATTGATCTTCAAATGGGGCGTTCCTGGTAGTGCACACAGATAGGCATGCTAAAACCATCTGTACCCATACAAAAACTAAGTAAAAAATATCAATTCATTCGAATGGTACAAAACATTTTGGATTAATAAAAATGCTCACTTGGGAATGAAAAAAGTTGAGTTACATCTTATCATAATGAAGTAAAAACAAAAAATAGGTATCATTTTAAACCAAGGGGGAAAGGCCAAAAAGTCCAACTGGAAATATGGGGGATACAAAGGAAAAGTTCACCACAAGGTGCACATCAGTGATAATTTCAAGTGGAAGAACGAAGACAACGTGTACCTCTCCATCTTGTTAGGTACCCGACGGAAGTCACCTGACCAGGAGGAAAAGAACACACAACATGTATTTTTTCATTTTAGCAAAAACTTTATTATTCATAAAAAGTTCTACTTGTTCTAATATCTAAAATGAAATCATCAGATATCATTTTTTTTTTCAGTCTTATAGGCGGTGTGTCAAAAAATGTGAATGGTACTCAAGAGTAAAGTACCTTTATATTTGACACACTGCGTATATGACTGAAAAAATTGATATCTGATGAAGTGATGAATGCATTTCAGATTTTAGAACTTTATATGATTGTTTTTCTAGGACGAATCATAAAAGTGTTTTCCATATGGTGAATTTGACTTGAAGAGATAATTAACAATCAGTAATAACACTAGAGGTTTCTATAAGTACAGGATAATTTGTGATAAAAATTTTGGTTTCTTTGCATATCCTCCATGCTGCTGTCATTTATTTTGCACACATCAAATTATTTGAAATCTATACTTCATCGAGGTATTTGTGACGTCAAAGGACAAAGGAATGCATCAAATAAAAATATAAAAACACGCTTCAACTCATTGAGTTGGTTTCATTATCTCCATGTCCATTTGGATATTTTCAGCGAAATTTTGTCATGGAGGGAGGCGCGATGGTATTAGCCGATGGTGGAGTGGTTTGCATTGATGAATTTGACAAGATGAGAGAGGATGACCGTGTTGCCATTCACGAGGCTATGGAACAGCAAACTATTTCCATCGCTAAGGCTGGTATTACTACCACTTTGAACTCTAGATGTTCAGTTCTTGCTGCTGCTAACAGTATATTTGGCAGGTGGGATGAAACCAAGGTATTTATCAAATGATCAATGGACATCTTTTAGTTATATTATGTGATTAGGAATCAGATACTCATAAAAAACGCCGCAAGATATAACACCGCTATTTCTCATCTGATTTTAAAAAATTTAAATATATTTAATGTTTCTGAAATCATTAAGAGTACAAACTAATATGAATGCATTTTGTGTTTCAACATCAACCAAAGCACAAATTAAATAATTTATCTTGTCTTCCTTGAATTCAGTATTTTTGTTGTTGAATTCCACAATGTTGGTTTTAAAGGTCTCTAGAGATGCAAGTAACTTACTCATATCCTATCCTCTAAAGCAATAATCACATCTTTGATGAAATCATGATGAATAATGTGGGTTCTGAAGCTATTATCAAAAAAATAAGCTTTGGTTGGCGTTGAAAAACTTTGACTTTTGCGCCGTTTAGTAATGTTTTTCAGACCATGAATTTTTTTTTAATTTTTTTAAATCTTAAAGATTACAGAGTTACAGATAGATCCTGGTATCGGTCTGTATAATATAATGAATATTTCTAGTCAACTGCCTACCATAACATTGTGATCTAAGTTTGATAAAGCATAGGAAGATATTCACACCCATAATTCATTTTTCAGGGGGAAGAAAACATTGACTTCTTACCTACCATATTGTCAAGATTTGATATGATTTTCATTGTCAAAGATGAGCATGATAAACAAAGAGATATAGTAAGTTCAGTAATCGAATTCGTTGGTATGATTTATAATATATGTATTTGTTTGTAGACTCTGGCTAAACATATAATGGGTGTTCATATGAATGCTGGTCAAGTCACTCAAGAAATCAAAGAAGGGGAACTTCCTTTGGAGTTTCTCAAAAAATATATCAACTACTGTCGAACGTAAGTATAACTATTCAATTCACCAATGTAGCACGTCATGAAAATGTCGAAGGAAACGTTTATCCATGTGATGTCTAAAGCATATGTGTCCAATAATGAAATCAAATATCCACTTGCAGACCCTTTTTAACTAAATGGCCAAATCCTGAATAATAATATAATATTATGCAGTTTTACTATGTCTACAATCAATTATGGGATATCCTGAATAAATAAAAAATTATGTACCTACACAGTCACAGTCCCAGTCGTCCATGCGAGAAAGTGTTTGTGAAATTGGATAAACTTAGAATTCCTTCATAGATAGGTATAACAAATTTATGTTTGTAGCAGGTCAGATACAAGAAAGGCACACATGTAAAAAACAGGAATCAGAATAATACGAATTTACAATTACAAATTTATGATTACAAATTTAAAATTACAAAATCGAAATATATTTAAAAAATTAGTGGAGTTAGCTCGGGAAATAATAAAAATCCTGATTGAATCTCCAGACAAAAAAAATCTCGATTATAATATATATTATGAATGTTTTGATTGTGTTTGTTACACTTGCAATGATGTTGATAGTGTCTGTGACTGAATAATGAGTTTCTTCTAATTTATATTCTCTAGGCCTGTAGATACCTATCCATATTCTCTATGGGATAAACATTCTTCAAATTCATCACATTGGTTAAAGAAAGTACACCATTTGTTAGATGGTGTAATCGTTCTCATTGCAGCAGTGATTTAGAGTTTGCACATAGACGGTGGTGCGATATGTTCTCTCAAGACGCGTCTACATACCTATAATTCTGGGTTCGTTTTTTAATGATTTGGTACATGAAATGCAATTAATTATGCATCTGCCCAGACCCGAAAACATTACTTTCAATCTGAAAGCGATTGATCTTGACCAGAGAAAGAATACACCATCCTACATGCTTTGATATCTGGTACTGAAGTTTCTCAAGTAAGTTAATTGCGCAAAAATTGTTATATTGGACAACTTCCTTAGTGGTATTGAAAATCTTGCAAAGTGTATATATGTTTGATAGTAAAAAACGCACCTCAAAGCACAAACATATTTAAGAATCACTACATTCCATTCAAACATTCAATTTTTCTTTGGCGCACGACACTCTGTATCTAATTTAATTTGATATCCCAAATTGATACTAACTTGGGCCACACTCTGCGTAAAATGGTCTATGTATTATGAGTCCAACTTATTCGACATTCTGCGAATGTTATAATGGCTTTGAATTCGCGCATTCAGTCGATGCGGACCAAGAATAAATAAAGAGGCAGCCAAGAAGCTGGAGAGAGGTTATGTCATGATGAGCTCGGGCGCCAATTAGCACGACTAGGAAGCCTAATATAAGAAATATAAGGGATAAATGACATCCCAGCTTTTTATTATTTGGCACATTACATTTTCTTCATGTTTCCAATAGTATAATGTGATTATATGATATCCCAAATTACTTTCAACCTGAACCACATTCTGCGTGAAATGGTCTATGTCAACGTATGCCAACCTTTTCGATATCCTGCCAGTGTTATAAAGGCTATGAATGCATGCATTCAGTCGTTGCGGACCAAGAATAAATGAAGAAGCTGAAGTTACGTCATGATGAGATCGGGGGCCATTCAGCACGAAAAGGAAGCCGATGAAGGTTCGAAAGTTGTTCCAGAAATCAACTTTGATGAATTTTTATTTGGCGCAGTACATTGTGTTCATGTGCCCAATAGAATGACGTGATTCGATATTCCAAATTACTTCCAACCTGAGCAACATTTCTGCGTGGAATGGTTTATATCTTTAAGTATAACGTATTCCACATTTTTCGAAAATTATTGAGGCTTTGAATTCGTGCATTCAGTCGTTGTGGACCAAGAATGAATGAAGAGGCAGCCGAGAAGCTGAAGAGACGTTACGTTATGATGAGATCGGGGGCCAATCAGCACGACAGGGAAGCCGACAAGAAAAGTTCCATTCCTATTACGGTGCGACAGTTGGAGGCTGTGATCCGGATTTCGGAAAGTCTGGCCAAGATGCAGCTGCAGCCTTTCACCACCGAGGCGCACGTTGACGAGGCCTTGCGGTTGTTCCAAGTGTCGACGCTTGATGCTGCGATGAGTGGCAGTCTTGCCGGTGAGTAATAAAACTATTGTTATCCAAACATTACCGCGAAAAAGTAAAGCAGAAAATTCACAGCTGAAAAATGGAAGAAATAGAAGAACTGACGGTAATGAAATACCACAAAATTCGCGATAGAAAATAACACGTCGCCCTACCTGACGGTAACAACTTGAAACTTCTAAGGGGCTGTTTTGATGATATAACCAATGAGCATTGACAAAAAACAAATGGGAACCAATCAAAATAAAGTACACAGGCCGCTTTGACAGCCTTCAACAACTTTGATAGGTGGCGTAAGCTTATTTTCTATCGTGAATATTGTGGTAGATTCGCTTGAACGAATTATCATAGAATTATTATCATTACAATTTCTAGTATTCTGTTTCTGCTTTCTAACTGCTGTCGAGTTGAAAATATCCAAATAATTTCAATTTCCAATATACAATTTAGAATTATTGATGCAAAACTTTTGACGTACTACCTAATTCTAGTGACATTTAGAGATATTTGTCTATGATGAGTTTCTTGACTCATTTCCTTCTGGCCATTATTTACTTGCAAGTCTTTCAGATAGTGATGAGTAGATTATTCAGATCACAATCCAAAACAAACTCAGTTAAAGAATCACGTAAACAAGAATGTAAACAAAATACACACATAACCTCAGAATGATTTTGCTATGATCTGCTGTCAATTCAGTATGATTTAAATCAGTTATACATCCACTGCTGCCAGACTAAAATAATCAATTTCTTTGAGATATTATGATATATCTTCAACATTTCAACAGGAATTCTGATTAGAATGATCAACCTCAAAATCGAACTGTCAGCATTATTATTTTGTATATGCCCATAATTGCATAATCATTCATTATTATGCTATTCCAATATTCATGTTTCCTCTATTATTCCCATGGACGTATAAACAAAGATGGACTGGGCTATTTACATTTTCATGTGAAGTCACACAAAGGAACAGTCTAACCACCGAATCGCTAGTTTGATGTTGTCATATTATTCTTGCTGTTAGTCAAACTTGAGGACAATTTCCGTTTTTTACTACATTTAATACGTACATGGGACATATAATTCATTGCATTACTCATGAACAACCGAGTGAATAACCAAAGATTACTCATCAGTTAGTATAAACTATTTCTCAAGTCGCGAGCTGTATATTCATTATCGACAGAAAAATTCTGATAACCTAATGCTTTCAAGAAGCTTGGCATCGTTGACAACGTCAACCAATCACACAGCGCTATTTGGAAAAGGAAAATAAATGGCGTAATATTCGAAGTAGTGTTTACGTTTTTATGATCTTCGAATTCGTGATATTCGAGTGAATTTGTGACTTTGTTTGAACAATAGTTTATCGTCAAGTGTCCTGATGGTGCGTAATTGTGTTTTATGAAGGAAAAATGCATATTCACACTCAGAACTATCTTTTCATTCGTAAGTAATAACATTGACATTTCAGCATAGGCGTCGTGCAGGGTGTATTAACTCATAATGTTTGTTAATTCAATATTTGTTGAAAATAATCAGGAATTATCATAGGAAGGGTACCTACATACATATTGCTTACATTTTATTTCTCAAAAATGTAAAAGTCAGATGAAACATGTTTCGCAGATTCCCTGTGAAGGGTGAACAGCGGGGTTTGTGGTTGTCGCTGTTGAAAATGAAGGCAGAGCAGATAACCAAAAATGCTCTTGTTTGCTCCGACCACTTCAGAAGTGATGATTTCATATCACAGCCTAGAGGAAGGAGGATTCTGAGGAAAGGGGTTCTTCCAATACCCATTTTTGATGAGTTACCAGCACCATCAGAACAAATAGAACAATCCTGGTGAGAATCTATAAAATATTTCGATAATTTTGGGTAACTTATTATACAGGGTGTGATTAATTCTCCCGGTATGCTGTAAATGGTACCTATTTCATGAATATTGTAAATATAAGTATTTCTTGGATTTTTTATTACTCTAATTTTTCAGGTGTGCAGATGATATAATGGAAAATATAGATCCAGCCTTCAATATTATTTTCGACGATAATTCTTCTAAACCTTCAAAAAGGTGGGTTTTACTTGAATTTTTTACAGTTCACAAATATAAGTTATGAATGTAGATTCTGATTTGTCTCCACATTCCAAAATTAACATTACATGAAATATTACAGGTATTTAAATGAAACTGAAGGGCAACATATTGATACTGATATAGACTCAAGCTTCAATGTTGCAACCTATGATTCTCCTGGGCCTCCAAAAAGGAGGTGAGTTTTGGCTTATCTTTTCTCAAATTTTTATTCAACCTCGTATTTAACAACGAATAATGTGGCAAGTGATAGATAATATAAATATTTTACAAAAATACAATATTTCAGATGTTTCAATGATGATAAAGGACAACCGAGAGGACAACTGAGTAATGCGGATATAGAAAATGCTTCTTCAGGTACACTCACAGCGTCAGAAACTGAAATGGTGGAGTTGTTATTGACAGATAATAATTGTTCATATTCCCGACATAAAACTTATGAAAAGTGAGTCCTCATTATGAATTATTTTGGTGATAGTTTATACAAATGAGTGTTTCCAAAGTGTGCGAACTTCATTTCATGTTTCAGAATGAACAAATCTGTCGAGGACACGTCTAGTAGTGAATTTTCAACACCTCAAAAGGCTATACAAAAAGTTAAAATTTTGAAAAAAACTGTGAAGAACCAAAAACACAAAATCAAGTGCCTTCAACAATCTGTCAGGAGATTGAGAGCAAAAATTACATCCCTCACTTCACTCCTGACATTATTGAAGAAAAAATCTTTGATTAATGAAAACTCTGAATGGCCATTGAAAGCAAGCCTCTTTTGGTAAGATTTGCAGTGGATAATAACATCATTTTTTCATTTTTTTAGGCATCATTATCAGGAGCAACAAATGAAATTTTCGAAAAACTGTTGAAGGGACCCAAAAAACAAAAATACACCCCAGCCTTGCGAAGTTTTGCACTCACCTTATCATTTTATTCCATGAGGGCATATAATTATGTAAGGAAAACGTTTAACAATACACTACCACATCCAAGAACAATTTCAAAATGGTACCAGTCCATAGATGGTAGACCTGGGTGGACACAAGAAGCATTGCACACACTCCAAATAAAAGCAGATGAAGCCAAGAGAGAAAATAAAACAGTTCTCTGTAATCTTGTTTTGGATGAAATGTCTATTCGGAAGCAAGTTGAATGGACTGGAAATAAATTTTGCGGTTATGTGGACATTGGAACAAACCTGGAGAGTGATGAACTTCCTGAGGCGAAGGAGGTACTAGTTTTCATGTTGGTTGCTTTGAACAGTTCATGGAAGATACCAGTTGGGTATTTTTTATTGGATGGGATCAGTGGATCTGAGAAAGCAGCGCTGGTGAAAAGTTGTTTACAACTTGTACATGATACTGGAGTAGTAGTCACTTCAATGACATTTGATGGAGCACCAGCTAATTTCAAGATGGCCTCCGAATTAGGAGCTGATTTCAACATTTCATCCCTGAAAACTTCTTTTGAACACCCTGTCACTAAAGAAAATGTTTATTTGTTTCTGGATCCATGTCACATGCTCAAATTGGTTCGCAATTGCTTGGGATCTGAAAAAATTCTTCACAGTGAGAATAATAAAGAAATTGATTGGTCATATATTGACAAATTAGTGAAATTCCAATATAGTGAAGGCCTTCTTGCTGCCACAAAACTCAGAAAAAGACACATTATGTGGGAGAAAGAGAAAATGAAAGTCAAAGTGGCCACTCAAACAATGAGTAAAAGTGTAGCGGATGCTCTTTTGTATTTATCGAAGGACTTATGTATACCTGAATTTGAAGGAGCCGAAGAAACTGCTTCTTTCGTCCAAAAATTCAACGATATTTTTGATATATTCAATTCAAAGAATAGATTTGCTAAGTATTCATGTAAAAAGCCTTTATCTCCACAAACTAAAGAGTCATTTTTCGAATATTTGGATGAAATTGATAGTTATATTCGCAGAATTTCCTGTGAAGGTATTCCAATTTTACAATCAAGAAAAAAAACTGGATTCTTAGGTTTTCTTGTATGTATCAAAAGTTTGAAAGGAATATATCAAGAACATGTTGAAACAAAAAATAATCTCAAGTATATTTCAACTTATAAACTGTCCCAAGATCACTTGGAATTATTTTTTGGGGCAATGAGAAGCAGAGGAGGTTTCAATAATAATCCTACTGCAAGACAGTTTGAGGCAGCGTACAAAAGAATTATTGTACATACAGAAATAAAAGCTGGGAATGCTGGTAATGCTATCAATCTCGATTCCACCTCAATATTGTTTTGTAGCAGTACTAGAGTGACTATAAATAATGATGGAGATGACAATTGTAACACTGATGGGTATATTTCATTTGAGAGACAATTAGAGGAAGATATTAGGTCATTAGATTTCAATAACTCGACAGCTTGGGATTTGACCGACTATGTTGAAGATATTGTCACTTATATAGCAGGATTTGTATCGAGATGTTTGAAAAAAATTTTAACATGTCACAAATGCCTTCGCCTGATTGAAAATGAGGAATCCCTCTCAATGTTACAACGAAGAAAGGAATACAAGAAATTGACGAACTCATCAGTTTTGGTCATTGAGATTTGTAAAATCGCTGAAAAATATTTCAGATTCTTAGATAAAACCCATAAAATCTATAATAAAAAAATTAAAAACCCGATGAATATCTTGATATCGAATACATTAAAAAATATTCCACATAATCTTTATGATTTATTTGGTGATCATTTTTATGATGGCGATCCAATCGATAGTCATTCCTCACAACTGGTCAAATTAATATTGCAAAAATATTTCAAAATCAGAATACATCATGCCACAAAGAATAAACTCGATTCCACCACCATAAGAATCAGGAGTACACTCACAAAAACAGTTCTTTTTAAAAATCAATGAAATGCCTTGACTTCTG